CCACGCCCGGCCCGCGGCCCCACCCCCACCCCCCCCCCACACACACACACACACAGCATGGCGGCTTCCTGCCTGCGGTGCGCCAGATCGCCAATGTGGCCGCCCTGCCCGGGATTGTCAAGGTGCGTGCGGGCCCCAGACACGCGCATGCGTCATGACCGCGCGGCTTGTTTTGGTTCTGGAGCTCCATACTCACTTCCTGCGCTCCTCCAGCAGAGCCACCGCGCGTTGGCGTTTCGCCTGCCCCCAAGCAGATGCGAGTCGCACATCAGAATTGATCCATCTGAAAATCAAAAGCAACCCCTGGTGTTTAATGTGCGAATTTTTGTGTTGCACCCCAATTTCCGTCCTACCACAGCCCATCCTGCCCCTTCCAGCACCCCAGTCTATCCCCTGCCCTCCTTACACACACTGCCAGGCGTCCATCGCCATGCCTGACGTCCACAGCGGCTACGGCTTTGCAATAGGCAACGTGGCAGCCTTTGACATGGATGACCCCCAGGTTGGCTGAAGTGCTGCTTGATCAGGGCCAGAGTTGAGTCGCCTTTGCTTACCAGGTGTTTTTGCGCGTATCATACCCTTGGGTCGTGGCTCGCGCTGGCATGTGCAACACACGAGTTGCCATCTGCGGCGGATCAGGCCCGAAATGCGTGGTGCGTTGCGGTGTGTGGGCCGCACGGGCAGCAGGGTTTGGTTGCGGCTGTCTCGTCTTGCAGTGTTTTCGGTCCCAATACGCTGGTCGCCCCTGATTTCTGAGCAGCAAAGGATACTCTTTCCCAGCCAGTTTGCAGAGCAGACTGCAACAGCATCCTGCTGACAGGAGCCCCGTCCGCACCGACTGATTCCTGCGCTCCCACCCCTGCTGCAGGCGATCGTGTCGCCGGGGGGCGTAGGGGTGCGCGGCCAGCCCCTCATGGGGCCAGGCGTTTTTGAGTGTCGCGGCGCCAGCGGCCCCCGTCAACCGCAATCCTGCATCCACACCCGACCCGTTCAACATGCCGCGCCACCAGCTGCCAACTTCACGGCCTCACCTGCCCTGAATACCCCTCGCTCAGCTCAACCTGGCTGCGCTGCCCACCCTCAACCCATTGTTGCCAGTTCGACATCAACTGCGGGGTGAGGCTCATCAGGACAAACCTGACAGGTGAATTGAGAGGGGGCCAGAAAGTCGAGGTCCTGTGCCTGGTTGGCTGGGGTGCAAGGAGCACATTGTCTTTGCTTTGTGTTGTAAAGTAGGCATGCCATGCTTGCTATGGAGCCCGCCAGAGCGTTTCGCCCGCCCGCCATTCGGCGCTTGAGTGCTGGTTGCACACGCACCCGCTCATGACCCGCTCATCCCGCCCTCATCAACAGCATGCCTTCATTGTCCTACCTAACACATTGGTGACCCTCACACCAATGCACTCCGTCCAGAGGAGGATGTCGAGCCCGTCAAGGAGGCCCTCACACAATCTCTCTTCGACCACATCCCTGTGGGAGTGGGCGGGCAGGTGCGTCTCAGGGGGGGGGGATGCCTGATCGAGAGCAGCGACTCAGCAAAAGGCGAATTGGATCACCTTGCGTGTTTCTGCCCAGGTATCCCTTTGTGAGTTTGGCCTGCTGCGCCCATTGCCTCAATGACCCTCTGACATTGCAGTAACGGCTCACCCGCTCTTGGCGCCAGCCCCTCCTCCCCCAGCTCCCCTGGGCCACCCCCCAACTGTCGTTCCCACCAGGGCATCATCCCCACCACCATGGCCGACCTGGAGGCCGCCCTGGAAATGGGCGTGGACTGGAGCCTCAGGCGCGCGGATGTGGAGGCATGGGAACGGCTGAAACGACCGCATTTCTTCCGTCTTGTTCAGGGGATGTGTTTCAAGCTCCATGGGTTTTACAGGTGCCTCTTCTAAGTCATTTTGCGGCGCCTTTGCCCCACACCAACCCCATGGCACCCCAATCAAATTGATCCAGGGAGGGCTATGCGTGGGCGGAGGACAAGGAGCATTGTGAAGAGTACGGCCGCATGCTCAACGCGGACCCCTCAAAGGTGGTGTGGCCTGCGGGGTGGGGGGCGCCATGCAGAGTGTGAGTCGTGCGTTGCGTGTGTGGTGGGTAACCGGGTGGGTGTGTGGCGTGTTGTGTGCGGTGCGTGGTGTGAGCAATGTGTGCGATTCGATGGGAGGGGGTGGGGACGGGTGACGCGGGCACCTTGTTGTGTGCCCCTTGGTTTGAAATGGACATTGTTTGGATTTGGGGTTTGGGTGGAGGTATGCATATGCAGGCTAGCAACATGTGTGTGTTCCTTGTGCTCGCATGGCAACACGCATGGGCAGCAGCAAAATCAAGGCGGGTTGAACTCGCGCGGGTCGGCCTTTTTTGAATTGGCTGGTTTGCGTGGCACACGGCCGTTGCATTGGCCGCGGTCAGCCGATCGCGGGCACGGCGTGAGGCGTGGCAGGGGCCGCCAGGGGGGCCAAGGAGGGAGCGCCGCGTGCTGCTCCGTGCGCGATGGACCTCAGCGCTCAACGCACGGAGCCAGCACCCTCAGCGCTGGAAGCAAGCTTAATAAGGGGCTGCACTGCTTCGACACTTGTCGGCGCAGCGTTCCCCCACCCCACCGATCACTACCACCCAGGCTACCTTGCTGCCTTCCGTCACATCAAAGCGTCCACAGCGCTCACGCCTGGTTGCCCTCTCAAACCCTGGCTGTCAGGTTTCGCTGCGCGCCAAGAAGCGGGGCCTGCCGCAGATGGGGACACTGGGGGCCGGCAACCACTATGCAGGTGAGCGCACCTCACCATGCCATTGCGTATTGAGTGAGGAGTTCATGATTCATTTCACGGTGCTGCTATACCCAGTTCCAAAGTCGGTGGCATGGCCTCTGCCCAGAGGGACTGGCAACCGCGCTGGCCGCTGCAGGGCTGGGCCGCCTGATGGACCAGCCGCGGGGCTGGGCCGCTTCGGCTGTGAGGTCCGCTCGAACACGTGGGCTTTGCGCATGGAGCTTGTAGCATAACATGATGACGCCAGATCACAACATTTATTTGAATCAGATCAGATCAGATCTCCGAATCGCCAGAGACAGGGCCCCTTAGCACAGCCGGCGCACAGACCGTGCTCGCCCATTTCCTGCTTGCTGCATGCCTGCGTGCCCGTCCTCCTGAAGCAAACCCAGGCCCAGCACGCTGGAGGTGTGTTCCCAAGCCCCACCCCTACACCCTGTTTTAAGGAACCCCTCAAACCTACATTTCTGGATCCTGCAGAGATCGAGGTCGTGGAGGAGATTTTTGATGAGTGGGTGGCCCGCAAGATGGGCATCGATCAGAAGGGACAGGTGGGGTGAGTTCAGTGGACACATTGCTTGTTAGGGGGTGCGCGGTGGGGGATGGGTGGGACATTTGAAGTTCCATCACCGGACTGTAAAAACTTGATTTGTGGTCGAGACTCACAGATCCATGCAAATTTTGGGATTGCAACAGCGTGAGGACGGCATGTCAAGCAAGCTCCAGTGTCTGTGCTCCAGCTGCTTGCGGCATGGCTGGCTCGCGGCTTCAGCGTTTTGAGGCGTGCCTTCTGACAGCCCAAACGCTGGCCTCACAAAGCCAACCAAGCTGATGCAAGCTGTCCAGCCTCAGAACGCCCACCCACCTCGGCCTCTTCCACCCTCACAGTTTCATCCCCCGCCCCCCAAATTTGACCCGCACCCCTACAGCCCTGCACCTCTGCACCAACCTCTGCACCAACCTCTGCATTAACGAAACCCCTCTCTCAACCCCAACACACCCAACCCCTGCTTGACACCACCTCTCCCAAGGTGTGCGTCATGATCCACAGCGGCAGCAGGGGGCTAGGCCACCAGGTGCGCGCTCTGTGGTGTGGTGCGCAGAGCCCTCCCTCTCGCGCTCCTGCCATCAGAGACGGGGTGCCGCCTGGGTGGGAGGGTGGCAGGCTTGTTTTGCTGCTGCTCCTGCCTAAGGCTTTGCCAAGGGAGGCTGGATTGCTGTGAAAAACCGCATGCGTATCAGCGCGCACAACGACAATCCCAGTCGTGAGTGCAATACAAGGTACAATCTCATCTGCGAGACCTCTCGGTCCATAGCGTTTGGCGGCCCTCCAGCCCCCCCCCCCGGTGCAAACTTGTGCTTGCAAACACAAACCCTGCCCCGGGGCTCCTGGCCCCCAAATTTCACTCGATGTCTGAAATTTGCTTCAACCCGTGATCTGATTGCAGGTGGCCACTGACGCGCTTATTGAGATGGAAAGGGCGATGGCACGGGACAGGATTGCGGTCAACGACAGGTGGAGGGCAGCAGGGAACGGGTGGCCACCTCTACAGCCCTGTCACAAGCACCGGCATTTGTTTTGCAATGGCAGATTAATCAGGTTGAGAAAACAGGGATCGCCTCCCAGACTGATGTGTCTGTGTGCAGCTGTGCCAGTGCAGGATCCCTCGCCATCCACCTCGCCTGTCGAGCCCACTGCCTTGCCTGCCAGGCATCAGTGATGCCTCTACCCTCACCCCCTCCACACACGCGCGCGCACATGCCAAACTAAATGCAAAGGCAGCTGGCCTGCGCGCGGATCGGCAGTCGCGAGGGCGCGGCCTACCTGGCCGCCATGGCGGCTGCGGCCAACTACGCCTGGGTCAACCGCAGCAGCATGACCTTCCTGGCGCGGCAGGTGATGTCATCATGACACATAACCTGTACCGCGGTCAGCACAGTACAAACCATGCCTGCGCCCTCTGCCGTGCGCCCTGTCCAGACATTCCTTGCCTGCGCTCCGCGCCTTGACCTTGGCGGACGACTCGACTGCATCCGTCCCCAAAAACACACCGCCTCCCAGGCGTTTGCCAAGACGTTCGGCTCGACCCCGGATGATCTGGACATGGCCCTGATCTATGACGTCAGCCACAACATCGCCAAGGCGCGCGAGCAGGAACGGGCTAGGGCGACGCCGTTCCGCCGCGTGCTTTCATGCACCCAAGCAACTCATGAAGCAAGCCTGCGATGTCTCTCGTTGAGGTGCCCCTAGCCAGCCGCCGCCTTCCCCAGCAACCATGCCACCCAACGCCCCTAATGGCCCTCAACCCGACCCTGCCCCGCCCCAAGCAGAACCCACAGAACCCGCGGCCTCTCAACCTTTTATCCGCGCCCCTGCCCCTGAACCTCAACCTGCCGGACAGGTGGAGGAGCACACCGTGGATGGGAGGCCCCGCCGCCTGCTGGTGCACCGCAAGGGCTCCACCCGCGCCTTCCCGCCGCACCACCCCCTGATACCCCTGGACTACCAGGCCACGGGCCAGCCAGTGAGCAATTGCTTGGCCTCGACGCTCCTGCGGAAACAGCCGGCACGTAAACGACTCGCTAACCCCGCTGTGAAGTCAGAATCTTTTATTCAGATATGGCCTTCAATTTTGTCCCCTGGTCATGCCCCGTTCAAATTGGGTGCTGGGTCACCCACACAGTGTGCTGCAGCGGCACAATGTGCGAAAAGTCACCCTCCCTGCATGCCGCGGCGAGCCGGCATTCATCAGCCCGCCCGCATCCCGACCCCTGTCCACTTGAACCCTTCCCCCACTTACCCCTGCAGGTGCTGATCGGCGGCACCATGGGCACCTGCTCCTACGTCCTCACCGGCACTGACCAGGGCTTCAAGGAGACCTTCGGCTCCACCTGCCACGGCGCAGGTGATGCCCCCCGCGTTGTTGAAACGCCGGCCAGCCGAACGGGCGCCCGACCCTCATCACAAATAGAGGAATCTCAGCAGCTAATTCACAGCACTTGCTTTCTGCTGCCAGGGCAGCCTTGACCCTGCTTGCGCGTCTGCAACAGCTGATTTGCCTAGGGTGTGAGGTATTGTTCTTACCCTCTAACCTAAAACCTGACATCGCGTTCTGCCACCTGGCCCAGGCGTCTCACCCCTGGCTGCCGTCATTCCCAGTCCTGATTGCCGCACTGTCATGTTCATCGAACTCCCCACCTCCCCATCTGCCTGCTGGCGCACCTCCTCGCAGGCCGCGCCCGCAGCCGCCACAGCGCGCGCAGCGCCCTGGACTACCGCGAGGTGCTGGACGCACTGAAAGCCAAAGGGGTCGCCATACGGTTGGCGCCGCGCACGGGCGGGGAAGAAACGGGAGCCCGGGGAGGGCGGGGGGAGAGACCAGCGGGCGGCCTGCTGTGTGGGGCGCCACGGCCGAAGGGGCGCTGTGGGGCCGGGGCTGGCCAGGCACGAGTCCAGCCTTCCCCTCCTCCAGATCTACCCACTGTTCACCGACTTCAAACCTACACAGTCCACGAACCTCAAATCCAAGCGTGTTCGTCTCCCATCCACCCACCACCGCGCGATATCATGATGACCGCCCCGAC